AATCAAGAAAGAACCTCGAAGTTAAGTTAATCCTACTACTTCCAATAAGACAGTTGCTAGCTTTACTGATTGTTGTGTGACGTCAAGCAAATCGGATGCTTTGCCCGTCTCAAACGAGTAAATGAGAGAGATCTGTAGCACTCTAGGTCCCATAAGCTGTTGAACGGCCGTTAGTTGAATTTTCCACTATAATACGAATAAGCCTTCAAAGAATTTGAACGTTGATTGCTGAATAATAATTATCCCCAGGTGAATAAGAAATGAAATTATGCAGACATTATTTGACACATGATTGGGGGACTGGTGTCAATTTTCGTGTCCTGGCTTCACCTTATGTCTTTCCTATAAAAACATGGGTGAACCTGTAATAAGGCTATAGCGTAAAAGACTCTAGATTACGAAGACATGGGCACAGCTCCTACACAGAAGACTCGTTAATCAAATCAGATGGGAGTCCATTATCACGTTAATGTAGCCCTGCGCTCTTATGGATACTAAACGACCATCCAAACTCGATCACCTAGGGCCTGTGCTAAACCTTGCTCTAATAATTCAGGGCCACCATTGGTGTCTGGTAGCTACTCAAATATGCACAAACGGATACGAATGTAAAACTCCAAAGATATTTAAGACAAGGAAATAGGAATTCAAGCTCTGGAAAGGTCTTCCAGGTGGCATGATAGACGAAAGCTAAGCCCTCTTTTACCGAGAATTTGAGATGTCTCGAGCATTGCTCCAGCCTGGACATCATAGTAAGGTAAAACGATAAGACACCTCCGTCGCCTTATGATAAAATTGACCTGCGAAAATCTTATCATTGCACACTTTGACACGTAGTAAATATCAGCCCATTAAGGATAGATTGGGAGATTCCTAGGCAACCAGTCTACTTACTTATGTAAATCTAAGTCAATACGCAAACAGTCAGTGTCAACATAACCTATGGGTAGTTGAACAACTTTGTATCACCCAGAGACTTACGCGTTCCTGAACTCGAGGTGCCTGTTCTCTTGTTCGGGCCAGGCGCTGCTGCCGGGAGAGATTCTCAAATCGTTTTTTTTCCTCGGCGCGAAGGCTTTCTGCTCGAAGTTTTTCACTGCGATGAAGTTGAAGTAGCTCCTCAATTTCTTCCTGTTTAGTAATAGTGACAAAAGCATCGGTAGCAGATCTGTAAATATAATTAGTAACAAAATAATATACGAGGATCCCTTAATTTTAGTCTAAGGCCGGAAAACCGGGTAACAGTATTATCAGACTCAAGGGGGCCTTTTCAGGATTGCTAAAACATGGCTCGATCAGGTAGAATTCCGACAAAAAATGAAGGTGACCTTGTTCCACGTGTATCTTATCTACTGTCCTTGTTGAACCCTATTCAAGCCATACTTCCCAATCAAACCTGTTTAGAAACGCATAAAATTCTTCTATCCCATTTTACCACGGTGAGCAACTGCAATCCAGATCTGGTATGATCAGTGTTAGTTAACGAGGCGACATCGAGAATTTATCTTCCTAGTAGCCGTTAGCTAAAAAAGCTGAGTTCATGGGCAGACTAGATCTGCACCCATTTAAGCTAAAAAAGTCGTTCTTATTGTCAAGTTGAGGAACTGCGTTAAAGACTTCTTCGAGATTTGCTCCCTATTTAGAAAATCGTCCCTTTTTTCCAAGATTTTCAGTATTGGCGTGAGCGCCTTCTCTTTTAACGTGTACACTAATGCTCAACAATAGCTCGTTCCTCTCGAGCCTGATATATTTAAAACCTAGAGAAAATATATATAAATATTTCCCTGTTTCAGATGCTTTATCTTTCACCTAAGTTGTAGGCAAGGGATTTCATCAATTAGTTCGTAACTTCTTGACGATCCAAAATTTTCTGGGCACTTAATATCTATACTAAAGTTCCTTTCAACACGCGCCTCTCTTTCTAAAGTGTCAAATTCAATTTCTTCTTGATGATCGTTGTGGCTTCGTGATTGATAGGGAACGAACATAAATTTACCCCATTGTGAAAACGAGGTCAACTCACTTCTATAAATCAAAAGGAGATTGCGACCCTACCAGAGGCCCCAACATCTTGGTCTTCATCTCTTTAATTACCCCATTGTGTTTATCCTTCGTTGACTCCATTCAATTTTTACTTTGAGAACCTTCCTCTTTTTTGCAGGGTGGTTTGATCTAGGGCTGCTTATAAATCCCATATTTAAGCAGCTTCCACTCGGGTCTCTTGCTAATCAAGAGCTAAATCCTTGTCGATATTTTTTCCTTCATCATCTTCACTCTCTAAAAATCATCAAGAGTGGGAATTCTGCCGAGTTCATGCGTGAATGTAAACTAAATATAT